GTGATTTATACAGTGTTAAAGTAAAACTGTAGTTCCTATGAATGCTCATTTTTAATCAAGTATCTGTTGCTATGCAGAGATATTTTTGCATCAGACTGAATACTAAGTTGAACATCTTCAATGAGGCTCTTATACATAAATGTTGGCTCAGATGTGAAATTCCAAGCAACTAGAAGTGCACTGGATACAGCAAAATAGTAGTCAAGCAGTATGAAAGTTACTATAGTAAAACACCTGTAAATCAGACACTGAATATTACAATAGCTTCATGATCAGACAAGAATTGTGCTCATTGTTATTGGAGTGTGGAATGGAAGTATACAAGATGTTTGTACTCCAAAACTATATTAAAGCTTTAATGTACAAGTAATAATGCCTGTAGTACTGAGGGGGTATTGCAGTATGCAATCTCTTGCACTGCAAAGTTTGGTAGACCTAATTCTGCATTAAATAAAGATGGAATTTGTAAACCAATTTGATGTTTTAGCTAATATGGATGAGAATTGGTAGCAACTTATATAATAATAAAAAAGTAATAATCAAAAATCCTAAAACTTTGTAAATGAAAAATGTGCCAAAATTCCCATTCACCATTCTGTAGCCAGAAAATAATGTCTTTCCTGAAAGTGTTGCAATGCAAAGTTTTATCCAGAGTTTGAATTTCTGAATCTGCCAAAGATGGTAATCAAAAACCCAAATTGGCCTCACCTGATGAAGATGGAGCTATTTTTGATGTTAAATTAAAAAAAAAAAAAAAAAAACTACAAACTTCAAAGATGACAAATATTAAAATAAAGCTTTTGGTCAGCAAAATCAGATGAATATGAAGCTATTTTTTCATGTTAATTTGGAAAATATTTAAGGAAAGCTACAAATTTCAGGGATGACAAATATGGAACCAACAAAGATTTTGGTCACCAAAGTTAAAAATACAGCAATTCTTGTCTCTTTGTGAACTCGTACTCAAAAAGATTAAGCCTAATGGAGATGAAAAAACTAGATGTAATATAATATTAAAAACAAAACAAATAAGAATACATGCTAACTGATGTTACTAATGAAACAGAAGTAATAAACAAGGTGGTAGAAAGAACAGAACTAGCTCAAAACAAAGATGAAGGGATTACTCATATATTAGACAGCTAGTATACAACTGTTACACAGCATTTTGCAATGTAATTTGCATCAATACTTCACTGTAAGTTGTCCAAGTTTACATATATCACTAAACCAGTACAACAACAGAAAAGTGCAATACTGTGTGAAATTTTTTTCTTGCTGTTCCCACAGCACTGCGTTAAGATAAAGAATCCAGCAACAGGAATTTCGAAGAAATAAAAATGGGAATTCAATTTATAAATTGTGTAAAATATAGTGAAAAAATTAAGATTCTATAAAAAAACGTAATTTGCAACAAGGCACCAATGCAAGAAAGAATACAATGGAAATATTTTACCAACTAAAATCTTAGTTCATTTTGTTTCCTTTGTCAAGATAATGTTTGATATTAAAGGTATATTTTAAAACAATTTTTTAGAAAACAAGAATAATGATCCAATTACAAGTAACAGATAACAGATGTGAAACTTTGATATCTTATATATCAGTTAGCTGTGATTTAAACTCAAACTCATATTTTTAAAGAAACAATAAGTGTGTGTATGACTGTTTTAGGTGATATGTAACGTGAACAAATTATAATTTGGTAATAGTGGTCTTATAAAACTTTTATTATAACTAAAACCATGTGAATGAAAGTTCAACTATTTTTTGTGAAAAGTGTGATATAGGAAAAGAGTGCCTCTTGTTAGTCTTCAAGCAAAAGTGTGTATTTTTACATAAAAGTTATATTTACTAAACCCAACTGCTTATCATACTAAATGTAATGTGTAAAGAATGTGCAGATAAAAAGTATTTTGTGTCAATAAGCTGAGACACAGCTAGTTCATCATTTAAAATAAATTTCAAATAATTTGTTATACCATCTAAATGTTGATCGAAACTCAAATAAGTGTTTAGTAACACTTTTTTTTCTTATTTACTTACAATAAATGATCTGCAAAATGTGTAAAACATTTTAAAGTGCCATTGAAAAAGTAAAATTCCTGTAGCTAAAGTATGACTCATCTTCAGACATTTTGTTGTTGCGGTGTTAATATTGTTTTTTCTTTTTGTTTCAAACACATTAATTTATTACATGTAATGTGTCAAGTTATAGGAAGTGTAATACCATAAGCAGTGTAAAGTATAAACATCTAACACTTATGTTCCTACTTGCCCTACAAAATGACTGGACACTAACTCTTGTGTTCAGATGTCATAATCTATCACTTGGACAACCACGTTATTCTACACAATTTAAAGTAGTTGCTAATCTTTCTGTAATAAACATCTTTCATTTTTCATAAAACTTCATAAAAAAAAGGAATTTCACTGCAAAAACTAATTTTTTTAGTCAAGTTCAAGTTTCCATCAAATCTATTTCAAAGTAAAAGTTTACCCAGTCTAGATTCTGAAATATATTTTTACTTCAGTCTGTATGTCATGGTAAATCTTATAAATGAAATTTTAAGATTTAAATGACACAATCTACAGATGGTAAACTTTTACAACAATTTTTATTTTCTTTCTATTATTAAATTTCCAATATGATTAGTATTTACTAAAGTTTCTCAGCAGTTTATAATTGAGACTGAGTTGTTTGATTGTAACTTACATGCTGAATAGCATCACATTGTATTTGGAAAGTTAATACTATAAGATTTAGTATTAGGAGATTTATCAAACATATTTTACAAGCAGATTAAAATGTAATTTTATACCAGATCTAACTACTGGAAAGCAATTCTTTAATATATTCTTCAATGCTTATTTTTCTTTCATGGCACATTAATAATTTACCCACATAAGCAATTCCCTCTTCCAATCAAAGATATAATTATTTAAGTTAAACTCTACAGAAATTTTGATAATACATCTGTAAACATTTGCAGTAAATAACGTAACATTATGGAGAGAGAGAAATTTATTAACTACGTCTCAAATTAGTGTCTAATTAAAGCACAAGTTAACTTGCAAATCTGTTATTGATAACAAACACAAAATGTTCATTATCTTTCTGCAAGCAGGAGGTATATAAAAAATAAAAATCACTAGTTCAGTCTGCAAATAACAATAATAGAAAATAATTAAAATATTACAAGCTATAAATTGCAAGAATAAATATGTACAAGCCTGTAAAGGAATGCAATAAATAAAGTAAATGTAATGACATTTTGATCAATTAAGAAACTGTTAAAACCTCAATAATCATCGAATCAAGAACACCTACCAGCATACTGAAGCCCACATTATAGTGTACTAAAAACTGAACCTGGTGATTAGCAGTTATTATACAGAAAACACTGAAGGTAGGTGGTTGGAACAAAGCCTTCTTGAACATCTCCTCTGCGTACTCTTGTCCAGCCATCTCCTTGATCTAATTCCACAACTTCAAATTCCTCTCCTTCTTCCATTGGGATAGAACCTTCACTTTGAGCTGTATATAAAGGTCATAAGCATTAAAATCAAGCACACGTTATCAAAAGGTGAAAGCAAATACAATCTGCATTCAGTAAAAAAAGTATGATAAAACTGTTACTATTGATACAAAAGCATTTAAAATCAAGTATGCTCACAACACAGGTTTGTGAATAATAATAACAGGAAAAAACACAAAATTTTTGAACTTTGCTAACTAAAGGGGTGATGGAAAATTATTTATTTTTATTAATACATAGAAAAAAGGGAATTGAAAATATTTACTATTGTGAAATAAAGGTGATATTGGAAAATTAACAGTGCTAGTTTCAACTATAAAAATATGGAAAAATTAGCAAATTTTAAACAACACCTACTCTTCTTACCTAACTCTGTGCATAATAACAATTATAATTAAGTAAAGAACAGAGTGAAAAACAAACTATTAAGAACTAAAAAGTAAGGATCACATGAAACTTTATGAAGTTTACATTCCATAAAAGTTTCAAAACATGAAAGGATAATAAAAAGCTAGTGAGTTTGATTAAAGTAAATGTTTATACAGTACGTGTAAGGTATTTTGAAATTGGTGTGGACCCATCCTCCCAAAATGTTTTTGAGTTTCATGACTGCAAGCATTGAATAAAGGAAGGCAAGGCAAGGAGAGTCTGAGGGAATGCTCCAGGACATTTTTTAAAGATTGTTGCAATCTAGTGCATTTATAGGGCACTTAAGATTTTTTAAAATCTTGTTTCACATGAAAGGTTTTCAGTTAATTAATTTTACTTTTTCATGAACCTATTTAAAAAACATTTACTTGGTAATCAGTTAGAAATTCTTAAGAACCAAAACATGTTTTATCACCCAAAACAGATAAATATTGAAAATACAAACTGCTGAAAATATTTATTTTTCAAAATAGCAGTTAATCTCATCTGGCACTGGAATGTTTTAAGTAAATTAACTTCTCAACAACAGTGCGAGACACTTATTGTCAGAATAAAATGCTGTATGCAATGAATATTTTGGCATGAAACACAAAGAAATTAAAAGTTGAGGGCTTACAAAAAACTGTTCAAACAAATTTTAATTTAATAAAATACAGGAGGTATGAAAAAATGTGTTCACATCCCTGGATTATTTCTTTATGTGGTAGAAACATGCATCACAAATTTATTTCATGAAACAGAAGGAAAGTTGTGTTAATCCAAGTACAATTTATAGAACTTCATTATCGAATTACAAATGGCCTTTACTTATATTAATGTAAAAGTGGCATGTTGTTTTCTCCTCATATTTTAACACAGAAAAAACTTTATGTTGTCTTCCCAATACTTGCGGAGAAAAATGGGAAATTTAAAATAATCTTATGAAGTATTAGAAAATATAGGAAGTCTTTAAAAAAAGAAAAGAAAAAAGAGAGAATATAGGGTATTTGATCTGTTAGATTAGCAACCAGAAATTTTACAAATAATGCCCAAGAACTCACATTATTCATAAACATTAATAGCCTGAAACACCCATACTTTCACATTTATGGCAAAGCTGCTAATTCTGTCTACTGCCATCTCTAATTTTGAACTACTGACCAGAGGGAAGGCAGCCAGTCAGAAAAACTCTACCATCCAAACTATGAGACTAACTGTCACTCTTATAATGAACCCACATCTTAAAATGTAGGGAATATTTCGTGATATTACACAAAACTGAACTTGGCTCATCAGTTCTCATGTCCAGAGCTCTACTACAGGGCCAATCTATGTTCCCACTCTGAAATGAAAATCCTAGTTGAATAAAACCAGGTTAATGAGAGGCCAATACAAGTATGCCACATTTTATATATCAATAGATGTACTAGGAATACTTCTATACACTATATCAGCTACTGTTTCTTAAAGTAGCCAATGTAAGCTTACATATATGGGGTTCTGGAGGGAAATCACGCCAAAATTGATTACAAGAACCATTATATACCCAAGTCCTACTGTAGTAGTTAGGATTCAAAATGTCAAACATGGTGCGTAATTTTACGGAGAGATGATTGCACAGATTCCTGTAGCTTGTATTCTGAACAATGCAAAGGAAAAACATTATTAAACATTTCCTCATCTTCACACATCATACTAATGTTTAATCTAGCAGTTACTAATTGAACAACCCATGCTATTTCCTTAACTGTTTCAAAAACAACTGGAATAAACAAGCACAGAAATTGTATGAAAATGATTTAAACTGACCATCAAAAGGGTAGAGGGCTCTTGCTGTACCCAGCACAGGAAGAGGCTCCAGGTCGAAATCCACATTCTCTTCTTCTATGTTATCAAACTCTTCCGCATCAGCATACACATCAACTTCTGGGATACTTGTGTGACTTGTACTTATGCCACTCTCAGGACTATAGGAGGAACTACAGTTATGGTCAGCTTTGCTGATGCACACAATACAAAATTTGTAATGACATATACAGAGATTACATATCTTTCAAGAGTATACAGAAAGATATTATATAACTCATTCTATATTTTAGAAATGATATTATAAGAATCAATACACATTGATAATGCAAATTGTTTTTTTGTGTTACTATAGTAACATATACATTAAATTGTCCTTAAATGTTCATGATGTAACCAACACATTGATAAATATTAAGACAAGAAATAAAGTTTAAGAAGGAATCAACTTCAATATTTTACTAGCATTTAAGATAAACAAAAAAACTTTGATATTTACAATTGAAATGGTTAGTGTTTCAAAGTTACAGCTACAAATTATTATTACATGTTAACTTGCTCAGCAAATGAAGAATATAAAGAAACAGCAAAGCTGACACGTATTTGAATTAGTCAAACACAACCAACAAATTCAAGTAGTAGTAGAAACCAAGATATGCAGAGCACATGCAACAAAAATGATTTTATGGATAATTAACACCAAAAGAATTTTATCTATTTTCATGCATTTATAATAGACTCATACTGGCCATATGCTAATAATGTCACCTACAGTTTTTGTATCAAATAGAATATATAAAAGCCTAAAAACAAAGACGAAAAAAAAACAGCAATGCAACCATTTTACTTTATGTCAAAAGCCATAAAAGGATCTGTAAAGATCATCAAGTACTAAAGAACTCTCCTAACAAGCTCCTGCACAATAAAATTTTAATCAATGCATACAAAACCACCTAAAGTACTTTGGAAAGCAAAAACATCATAGGAACATGAACATTAAACTGATGGTAAAAAAAAAAGAAAAAAAGAAGTCAGAATTTAGGAATCAGTCAAACATAATACTGATCCATCCAATGTTTCTTTGCGCTACACAAGAATTAAATGTAAAAACTGTAAGTTCACAGATTCAAAAATTATATAAAAAAGTTTTATTATAGAGAAGAAAGCCACATAATAAAATGTAAAGATACTAAAATAATATATAATCCACCCAGAGAAAAATGAAAGAAAGAAGATCTACACATTTGATTCACAGAAATTACAGTTTGTCATCATAGTAAGGAAATGATCAAAAACATTTACATCCATTCTGCAACAACTAAATAGCCAAAAATAAATAATGTTGGGCATTAGCACAATAACTGGGTAGCACCACTGGCTTTCTATCAGAAAATTTAAGTTCAAATTTCAGCTCCACATCTCAAAAACGATTTTTCTTAGGACCCTCCTGCAGATGGCAGCAAGTTAGCATCCAAAATACAGGGCACCAATTCTTTAGCAATATGTTAATAAATAATGTTTAAAAAATTGGTCATATTGACTACTATCAATAGTAAAAGTTGGATTCCATTTGATTTTTTTCAGAAAACATTTTTTCTACAAAGAGAAATGCAAAACCATTATTTATTGCCATGTAATTGTTGATGAAGGATTTAACTTACACAAAATATTTTCTCTTGTTGGCATATCTCCTTTTAATTGCATGTTATGGTTCAAAATAGCTTTAACATTTCTGGTACATTAACTTATTGGTGGTTGTTTTTTCACAAAAAATTTTATGACTTTATTAATAGCCAGTCACAAATTAATTTAAAACAAACTTTTTCTGAGCCCTTCCCCATTGATATTTTTTGCAAGTACGTCCAAAACAGATATCTACCACGGATGTAATACACTGCCTGCTGATATTGCAAAAAGTTATGGTGCATTATTTCATTCTTTGATGATTTAGGAGAAGAATGAGCAAATAAGGATCAAGTGGAAATTACAGGCCATTTGTTTTGACAGCTATATTAACCAACTATATTTTTATTAAGAATGCTGGCCAAAATAAAAGGTGACTCATCAGTGGCTAGTTCTCCACTTACCCATTGGCTTGTGGTGGAGTATTTGATACTAAGATTTTGTTGTTGTTAGGATTGTTGACACTGGAGTCAGATGCACTCCGTGACAAAGAGTCCTCCGATAAACTGTTCCTATCCTTTTTATGACTTGTGGGTGTCAATGTCATATGCTCCGCCTCCGATAAATAATTCTGAAAGGCAGCGAAAGTCTCCTAACAATCCGTAAGACAGGCATTTCTTTTTTTCTTATATATATATATTTACATTAATGCTATGTTTTAAATTTGATCACACAAACGTTTCTCCAAGACTTTTCCCTTAATAATTTAAAATTCTCACTTACTTTTAACTTTAAAAATTTTAAATACTGAATTTAATTTTACTGTGTTTTAAAGCAATATGATATTAATTTAGAAAATAAATTACGCTATTGAAAAATTAGATGAAATCTACACGTGCTGACAGTAAAAATTTGGAAAAATATTGATAGATAACCCTTATTATCATGCTAACTAAGCCCTGAAACTACTATGGAGGTATTTAAATTCTTTGGAGCTCATTTCAAATTAATTCAAAACATTTTAGCATTAAAAAAAGTTTGTAAAGTTACAATTTTGTGCAAAAAGATCATTTTTGCCAAATCATAAAATGGAGCATTAAAGTATATGAAGGTATGGGGATTTGTACCTGAAATTTTTGAAGCTCAACCTGGAGCTTCTCGAGCTTATGTCCACTTTCTGTTAATTGGCCTTCAACACTCAATGGATCACCCATTGCAGGATTCTGTTCATACACCAATTTCATCTTGATTAAGCCGTCCCTGAGACCAGACAGAAAATACACCAATATGTATAGTAATTTTCTGTCTTTAAAGCTTCTAACTTTAAAAATAGAGAAATATATGGGGCTCACAATAAGCTGCAATTAATACAGAGTTTAGATGATTGGCTTGGAAGTGTGCAAAAAACAATAACATAAAAATAAAGTTTTCATAGTGACATGTATGTGCAACTTAACTGATGTACCTTATCACTTAAAAATTATGTTGCATATTTGGTAACTAATGTTTTCCTGCTCATGGATGATGCCCAGAATATTGAATGTTCCTAGCTTTTCAACTGAAATGATCTGCATTTGGGTGAGGTCACACAATATTTTTTTTCTTTAAATATGTTAGTAAACTTTTAATTACAACAAGAAATGCCACCACCAAAAACAAAAGCACACTTGCTCAAAAGAATTGTTAGAAAAGTGAAAAATAAGCATTAGGCATTGAAGCAAATGTTTAAATTCCATTTTAAAACTACAAATTGTAATTCATAGTAACTGTAAAAAACATTAGTTTAGTCCCCACCATACTTCAAGTATTACAGTGGTTTGAATTCCTTAGCTCTGTACATTCACTTTGTAAGAACAGTTTCTTACCACCATTTATAGCAATGGCATAAGAAAATAGTGCCTTACCTTGCAGCTGTTTCCTGTTGGATCTGGTTCTGTATGTGTTCTATCTTCTGTGTAAGTTTCTTTTTTCTCTGGTTAGGAGGTAGATCGCTGTAATCTTCCTTTGTTTCATCAATATGATGCTGGAAACATTGACCAAAAGTTAACTAGAATGTTAACAAAAGTAATAAGGCAAGCAACAAAAATATTTTACAATATTTAAATTAGACATTTCAATAATTTTAATTGTGTTTTATATATATATATATATACACACTTT